TTGGGTGATAGTAGATCGATTAACTAAATCCGTTCACTTCTAACCAGTCAGGATGAATTTTACCTTAGAGATGATAACACAACTTTATATTCGAGAGATAGTGAGGTTGCATGGAGTCCCAACTTCGATCATTTCAGACAGAGATCCTAGGTTTACTTCTCTGTTTTGAGAAGTTCTTCATGTTTCTCTAGGAACCAAACTTCATTTTAGCATCGCGTTTCATCCTAAGACAGATGGTCAGTTAGAGCCTGTTATTCAAGTTCTTGAGGGACATGCTGAGATGCGTTGTTATTTATTTTGAGGGTAGTTGGGAGGATCACTTGCCTTTAGTGAAGTTCACCTATAATAATAGTTATTAGTTGAGCATCTAGATGGCACCGTATGAAGTTCTGTATGGGCTCAAGTGTAGAACTCCTCTCTGCTGGACCGAGCTTAGTAAAACAAGGATAGTAGGACCAAATCTGATTAGAGAAGCCGAGGAAAAGGTCAAAATAATGAAAAGTATACTAAAGGAAGCATCAGATACGTAGAAGTCATCTGCGAATTTGAAAAGAGAGGAAATCGAATTTACTATGGGCGACAAAGTTTTCCTCAAGGTGTTTCCATGGAAGATAGTACTAAGGTTTGGGCGTAAAAGAAAGTTGACCCCACATTTCATTGGTCCCTATGAGGTGCTCGAGAGAATCAGACCAGTAGCTTATCGTTTAGCCCTACCCCTAGAATTAGAGTGCATCCATAATGTGTTTCACGTGTCTATTCTTTGAAGGTATCGATCGGATCCATCGCATGTCTTACCCTTAGAGCAAGTGGAGTTGAGTCATGAAATGACTTATGAAGTGGTACTGATTCAGATTCTAGCCAAAAAGGTGAAAGAGTTGAGGAATAAGAAAAATCCATTTGTAAAAGTTCTTTGGAGGAATCATTGAGTCGGGAAAGCCCATAGGAAACCGATGAAGACATGCAGCTCCAGTAGCCATATCTTTTTCATCCAAATAAAATTTTGAGGACGAAATTTCCTTTTAGGAGGGGAGAATTATAACACCTTGAATCCCATGTTAGTAGCTCAGGCTAACTCGAGACCCATAATTCTGAGCCCAAAGGATTTATTAAAATAGCTTGGACCAAGTTTAGTTGAAATTGGTCTTGGGTTGGGCCAAAAGATTTATAAAGGGTGATGAGTATTTTATGAAAAAGAAAGTAGATGACTTAAAGTGTGAATTTCCCTTTTTGTTTTGAAAGTTGAAACCCCCTATATTTTTTCTTGTTTACATGAACAACCCATAAATATCTCCCCAAACACCCTTCTTTCTTCTTCCATATTTTTCTATTCCTCTTCATCTCCTAAGTGAGAACATTAATCCTCATTCTTCTAGTTTCAATTTAAGATCCATATTGCAAGTTTTTAGCCATAGAACAGAAAAATGGTTTTTGGGAGGTTTAAGAGATTCTATGGATTCTAGGTTGTTTTTGATATATTCAAGTTCAAGGAAATGTTCTCATCTTTATTTCCACCACATAGTTAACTTAAAAATTTACTTTTCTTACCCTTGATTAGAGAAAGAAGTGGGAGAAAGTTAAAAAGCAAGGGGAAAAGATAAATTACCTCTTGAGTGAGTTGAGTACTTTGCTAGTTGCCAAGAAATTCAAGGTAACACACTCACATCTCCTTCATACCTTAGTGGGTTACTAGAAATACAAGATAGTTTATGAGTTGACGTTGAAACATGTTGAGTTATTTTCATGGTAGATTATATGATTTAGAATTATTAAATGTTTTAAAGCCTTATTTATGACCCTCTATGCTCATATAAGGCACTAATAATAATTGAGAACCTCAAAATAGAAATATGGGTGAGTTTGAGTGTAGAATTTTAGCCTAGGCCATTTCGAGCAGGGGTATCAGTACTATAAGAACAATATTAATATTGTTCTTCTCTTAGTAGAAAATTTCCTAAGTTATTGAAGGAGTATCGATACTTAGAGGGTAAGTATCGGTACTAGGGCATTTTTGAAAACATCGAAGCCAAATTTGGTATCGATACTCATTGAAGTATCAATACCCAGGGTAAAGTATTGATACTCCCCATAGGAGTATCGATACCGATGAAATTTTCATAACATCGAATCAAAATTTGATATTGATACCTCAGCTTAGAAGTATCGACACTAGTTGAGAGGTATCGATACTATCCCTTTCCCCATCAGTTGAAAATAGAGTAGAGTATCGATACCTAAAGATAGATATCGATACTAAGTGATCAATACTGATACCAAAGGACCAGTATCGGTACCATTGTACATTTTAGATCATAAATTTTCAAGGGATTGTAGAGGAAAATGAGGTTTCCAAGAACTCTTTAATTACTCTTAGATAACACTACAAGTGAAAACAATAATAATGCTAAATTACACTTAAAAACAACATTAATTAGGGTGACATAAAACTAGCCTTGATTGATGCTTGGGAAATGATCAGGACACTTGAGTTCCTTTAGTAAGATAGTAGTGTCGATGTATAGAATCAGTCTGAATATCCTTAAGTAGTGTGTGAGGCACTTTAAACTGACTAATTAGGGTGTGAGGTCAGACACTCGCGAGGGGTGGGTTAGTCAAGGGTGTTGTGTCCGATTTAGAGATTACGAGCTACATTCTTGGTTGACTAGAGGGGTGCGTGAGCTCCGAGATGCAAAACCCTCAACTGCACTATGAGGTCTACCCTAGAGTAGAGTGTGATTATACGAGTATACTCACTGATTCATGAGATCTGATAATTTGAGCATTTTTTTCCGATGCACTTTAGTATGATTTAGTTGTTAGTGTTGTATTGGGCTAGTTAGCTCAGCGTTTGAAATTTGTTTCCTTACGCAAATTAGTAGAGGAGCAGTGAAGAGCCTTTTGTCCAACTTGATTCCAGACCCAGATCCAAAGCATAGTACGTCTCGAGTTCTTCTTAGAAGGCATGTATATTTGTAATCCATGTTTTGTATATTCGAGTCGTAAATTATTTAAAATGATGGTCTATATAAATTAAATGATTATTACCGAGAGCTCTAGATGCAAACTATTTTATATAAATATTGTCGTTTTAATCCATTATGAATATTTATAAATGATTGTTTTAATTAATCAAGTAAAGAAAACTTTTGGTTAGCTACTTTGGTGGTTCCGTGTGACACTCTAATCGATCGATTGTGCGTCGTACTGGTTTAGGGGTTACATACTAAATATATGCATAAACTACAACATAATTATTTGAAATCAAATCCTATAAAAATAATATTTTTTTCATTCACATTAATATCCCATGTCTAAGTTAACCACTCAGTGAATAATCAAAATAAAAATAAAATCTAATACTTTAGTTGAAGCAATTGCAAATTCAATAATACGAATGATATAACGTGAAAAGTATATTAATATACAATGTAATTTACCCTGAAATAGATTATAAAAAAAATTATAGAGAGAAATCGAAACAACGTCATATATTAATCCTTCAGTACTCTTTAAATATTTTAATACAAACATGTAATGACCATACATTGTTGGTCTCAACATATTATTAAATAAATTATTGGTCGAGATTATATTCTGCATGTTACCTTATCATATCAATCAGCAGTCTTCATCAAGGTAGAACAAACGACGAAGAATGCAGGATTTCATCAAAAGTAGCAACGGTGGAGATTATATTCTCTACATAAATTGCAATTATTTTAAATTTCATTTGCCAAATATTTGGAAATGATACCCAAAAAAACCATAAAAAATGACCAAATTTAAAGCTATAAAAGAATATATTCATACACCTGGACAATGAAATTGGTAATTATAAAAGGATCAATCTCGTCGTTGCCTTCATTTTTCATGTCGTCTACTTGACAAAGAGATTCTCTTAGGAGAGGAAAAATAAAAGGTACTTGCGTCTTATCTCTATGGGCGGAACCAGGGGAGGGTAAGGAGAGCCTTTGCCCTTCAATTATATATTTAATTATTAATTAATATAGAAAAAATACATATTTAAAAAAAATAAGTAAAGAAAAATTTATCGGATCTCCTCAATTAAAAAATTATATTTATGAAAAATAAAAAAATATTTTAACACCCGCTATAATAAATTCCTAGTTCTGTCCGTGCTTATCCTCGTTTACCATTACTTTCAAAATTATATTTTTAAGGATAAAATATATAAATGATATTTAATTATAGAGTTATTTTATTAACTAATTTTATCAAGTCTTTCAAAATTATAAATGATCTTTAATTATAGAGTGTTATTTCCTCTAGGGTTTCATTTTGTTGAACCCCTACTACTGAAAGCTGTAAAATGATCATTTGACTATTTTAATGTTCTAAACTAATTTTTTTATTAAAAAAATTGGAGATCATTTAAGCTAGATTTTAAACTATCAACTAGGATATGATAAAATCTAATCGCAGAATCGTTTGAACTGTATTTTGTGGGTTAAATCTTCATTTACATTATGTTATCGAGTCAGTGCTTGAAACATGATGTCGTTGAGTCAACGCTTGAAAGCAATGGTGGTTCAGTAGACATCATAAAAATATGATTTTATCATATCTTAATCAGTAGGTTAAGGTACCTCAGACAATTGTCAATTATTTAATGAAAAATGACGAGTTTAGAACATATAGATAGTTGGATGACCATTTTGTAACCTTTAGTAGTCTGGGAACTTAACAAAATAATGGATTATAATTAAGAGATCAATTTATAACTTTTTATAGTTGGGGAATTATTTGTGTATTTTATCCTATTTTTTAAAATATTTTAAAACCAATGCGCACATGTTTAGGTATTGGACGTGAACGATGCTAATGATCAAGACCAAAGATTTATGAGGAATTTGTTCCGTGTTTGATTGCAAGCTAAACTTTAAAGGCGGTGCCTTTTTCATTTTCGACCTACTTTCTGGTTATTGTGCTGATCACAAGGAATCGAATCCACCATGCTTGTATATATAGTTTGCTCCACTCAAGTAAAATTAATCATCAAGAACTGAAAGATTAAAAGAAGAGTGAGAATGGGGTTAAATGGAGATGGCAACAATATGGGAATGGGACGCTACGCTAATCGGGGAAGCAGGAAGGAGGCCAAATACCAAGGAACACAGATTAATGGCTATGCAATGGCTGAAACCTGGGATGAGTACGGTCAACTTACGGGCCACTGCATGTCCCAAAGTTCTCAACTTCATGGTCCTGGGAAAAACCAAGGCCGTGTTTATGGCTATGGGAAAAATGGTAGCGGGATGGGCCATGGTTTCGGTAATCATGGCAACTATCAAATAATTGAGGCTTACGGCTATGAAGAGACCAATGGCACTGTAGAGTATGTGAACCATGGGATGGCCAATGGCTATAGGGAGTACGCCAACAATGGGATGGCGCGCAGCCACCCCCACCTCCGTGGCAAACACTCCGGACATGGAAACGGGTTTGTCAGCACCCAATCTTACGGCGGAGGCCGTGGATACCATTCAGACAACGGCCTCTCGGCTAAGGGTTCTATATGGAACAATTGGGGTGAAAACAGCTGCAATGATTCTGACAGTGACAACGACGACGAGGTAAAATTGTTATTTTTTTCTCGAATGTATGAAACCCAATCCAAATATCTTCATCCGTTCTTTCAGATATAAAACTAATGGCTTTTTGTTTACAGGTGTGGACTAGCAAAGCACTGTGATGTGATGAATTCTATAAGTGCATGAACACGGTGAATAAGACTGACAGATTATATAAAATTAAATAAACTTACCGTGTAAGAAACTAGCGAATATGATAATTCTTCTTTACGTTTGCGTTTCATGTAATACTGTGTTATGAATTAATAATAAAACCTCTGGCTCTGAATGAGAGCTGAATTGGTCTTGATTCTCCGGTATCAAAATATAAGCAACTGAAAACTACAACGGCAAAATGATATTAAGAAGAATTAGATGTATTGCACTATGAAAGAACATAAGATCGATCCATCCATTCTTACTTATGTGTCATATGCCATAAGTATTTAAGAATAATGATGGAACTAATAAGGAAATTAATATAACAAATTACACTCCCATATTCATTTCATACCTCCTTTGTTCATTTTCTTGCTTCTCTGATATTCAAGCCTACAGTTCACAAGCAATATGTATGTTAATCATAAACTAGGTTGAATAGAATTTGGTGCAGAGTAGTTTAAAAAATTAGTTACCTCCCTAGAGCGACATAAGTCGTCACAAGATGAATTTATTGAGCGGGTTAGTGATAGAAGGTAGTGGTTCGAGCAGTTACATCTGCATAATGTGTGTGCATTCTCAACAATTAAGAAAACTTCTGAATAAATATTAATTTATAATGACCTCGTACTATTCAAAAAATATATATTTACTTTTTATAATGTGATATTTAACATATTAATCAATCAATTTATCTAAAGATTCAATATGAGGATAAACCTCTTAACCTAATTTATTCGATTTATGATATCAATATTCGTACACGAAATATAAGTTTTAAGAAGGTCAAAATAGGATCGGATTATGTTGATGTGTATGATTCTTAGTCAACAAACAATTAGCATTAGAGGAGAATGGTATTAGTGATGCAGTTAGCTATATATGAACAAGTCATAAGAGACTAGAGGAGAGGTGAAGGAAAACTTTAGGTAAAGGAATGAGTGTTCCTAATGAATATAAAACTCATGACTTAAGAGAATACGGGGGGAGATAAGCAACTTAGCCGACAAGCCCAATGTACTTACTCGATATTTGTTTTGTTAAATTAACTAATGGTTGATAAAATATACTCATCTATTAAATACTTGGGTAAAGAATACAAATAGTCCCTCGACTATATGATATTACTTTATTGAGTCCCTTGACTATGAAAGGTTACAAATGGTCCCTCGATTATAGGGAGTTGATTTGTTAAGCCCCTTCACTATTAAAAGTTATAAAATGGTCAGTCAACTATTCATTATGTTCAAAAACTCGTCATTTTCCGTTAAAAAATTAATGATCATCTAAGTTAGACGTTAACATGATGACGGAGATATGATAGTCGTTTGAGATTATGAAATCAGATTTTATCATATCTCAGTCAGCATGTTCATGTACTACTCAGAGTGCCATAAAAATTTTAACGAAAAAGGATGAGTTTGGAAAATGAATAGTCAAGTGACCATTTTGTAACTTTTAATAGTCAAGTGACTCAACAAAACAACTCTCTATAGTCGAAGAATCATTTTATAAATTTTAATAGTAGGGACTTAATAAAACAATATCCTATAGTCAAAGATCATTTATGCATTTTACTCTAAATACTTTATATAATATAAAATTGAATAATAAACTATCAAATTTATAATAAATTATGTCAAAAATTATATATGAAAAGAATCAATTAGTTGTATGATTCATTGGATTATATGGTCTTGCGCGATTCTTACAAAAAAAAAAATTAACTCTAAGCAGGTAAATCCAAATGCACCCTCGGCGCCAAATATTATGGTTAAAGAAATAAAACTATTATTACAACCTCTTTCCAGCTAAGCTAAGCTAAACTATTATTACAACCTTCTTTCCAGCTAAGCTAAGCTAAACTATTATTACAACGTGAAAAACAAAACCAGATGTGAGGCATTCTTCCTTGGGTTCTTAATAAAATTGTTTTGTCGAGCAAGCAAAAAAATCATGTAGTTTGGTCCCAAGTAACTTAAAAAAAATTGTAGATATTTGCAATGATATAAACCAACGATGAATCGGATTTGTGAATGCAATCAAAACAACTAATAAACCCACAATAAGCCATCAACTAAATCACTTGGAAGTATTGAGAATATCACTAAGTTTCAACATGATTTGTTCTATTGAAGGTCTTGTCTCCGGCAAGGTGTTGGTGGAAGCCAAAGCAATCTCCAAAACCTTGAAAGCTTGCTTGCGTTCTTTCCCTTTCACATGAAACTCGAAAAAAGTACTATCACCTTCTTTTATGCTTTCCTTCATTTTAATTATGCAGTTTATGTAACTTAGGTCCCGCACTCCCCCTAGCATGTCCAACAAAACTAGACCAAAATTGAAGACATCACTCTTTTGACTCAAATCCTCTGAATAAGTATTATTTGTTGTTCTTGATCGTTCTTTGTTCTCGGAATCCTCAATGCAGCCGGGAAACTGGACGAACCCGTAATCCGATAACCGTGCTGTGAGGTCGTTGTTTATCATGATGTTGGAGGATTTTATGTTTCCATGAACGTTCATTTTCATGTTCTTTTCTGTTGGCGGGGATTGTCCGTGGATGAATGCGATTGCTCTTGCGATGGAATCTATTATTCTCAAACGCTCATTCCAGTTCAAAGCAGTTTGGCCTCGCCTCCCACCTTGATATCATACGCAACATTATATAAACATATAACATTTTACTAAACAAAAAGTAGTGCTAAAACGATGAACGAAAGGTCAATTTAGCATTTCTATGTGTTTTTAATTAAGTAGCAAGAGGTCAGCTTTTTAATTGGGGGTCCAAATGATCGAACTTGAACGAACAAGTTTATATTTATGTTCGTTTTTTTTAATTTTAAAAGTGTTCATGTTCGTTTAAATTTTAAAATCGTGTTCTTGTTTATTGTTTATTTTTTAATGTATTTGTGTTCGGTTCATTTAGTATTCAGGAAAATGTTCATTTAACACTCGTGAACATATTCTTTAAACATTGACATACATCTTTACTTCAAAAAATATTTGCAAACATGTTCGTCAGTATATACGTTTATACCTTGATTTTAAAGTTCAATTCGAGAGAGTTTAACAAATGTTCTGGGGTCATAACTTGCCCAAGACCTAGATGAAGCGAAAAGTGTGTGGTTCAACCGATGCCGAGGGAAAAGTTTTGTCAGTTCCCTAGACAACCAATACTCTCTCCTCATATCCTTTTATTTACTAGTTAAAAAAATAATAAAATTATATCACTAGTCCTTAAGTTTTATAGTTTGAATTTCAAAATTCATCATATATTTAATTTAATCTCTACCTTCACCGATATTTAAAATAAAAAAAGATAAAAGAAGAAAAATTAGGTAAACAAGCTAATAAAAGAGTTCTTTATGAATATAACGAGTCGAACATACTTCTATTCATGATCGTTCGTTTATTAAATGAACATAAATATTTTGTTTATACTCGTTTATTTAAGTCTATAAACGAACGTTATACGAAATGTTCATTGAATGATCAATTCATTTAGACCCTAATTGGTTCTAAATGCAGTTTCTTAAATTTTTTCGAATGGAAAGAAAGTTGTTTAAAATTAGTTCTGTGGTTTTAACCTACGAAAGTAAAAGTAAACAAGGTACTTTATATGCAAAATGGATCAGCGAAAGCTAGGGTTTTATGAAGGAAGCGAAAAACTCACCAGAAAGAAGGTAAGCTAAACTTCCCATGGGAAAGTAGTCCAAAACAACAAGCTTGATCCTCTTTTTTTTTTTCTCGGCAAAGGACAATTTATTTAATGAAATCAATAGTCGAAGTTCAACTTATGAGCCTCGTTAAAAACCTCCCTAATCTAATTGAAGGAAAAGAGTACTACATAAGAAGACAATACAATCAAAACAGACCAAAAGCAAAAACCAGATAGTCAAAGATCGCCACCATCTAATTAAGGTAACTCAAGAGCAAAAAGCACCACTAACCAATAGAAGCAAAAGCTACAACCACCCAAGCGATTAAAACTAAAAAACAACAAAGCAATTCTAATCGAAGAAGCTTCCTCGACTACATCAACACATACAGAGACAACAAAAGCATTTCCAAAAGCTCCAGAGTGGACAACCAGAAAAATAACTCGATGATGAATCCACTACCACAATAATTATAAGATGAAACCATCACTAAGCTCTTCTTAAAGCTACCAATCTTAGAGTCAGGAAGCTCTCAACAAACCAACAATCGCCAGCCAATCGACCATTCCACTATAATTTCCAACTAACAAATCAATTTTAACATATACAGACCACATCATCCATGGACATTGAAACACAAACAAATATAAGTAAGCAGTGATGGGGACAAGGTAGTCGCACTTGTTGCAAACCTGAGCCAACCTCTCGACTCTCCTACTGAACTCACTCTTCCTGGCTATTACCTTCAGGAACCTCTTTACAGTTTACAGTGCAAAGTCTACCATTGGACATCACCACTTTTTCAGTCAATCCCCTACTGTTATCTCCCATCACACCCACTGATGTCCTCATAAATGTTGAGCATGAAGAAGTTAGTTAGCTATTCTTGTATAGTTAGGAATTAGTTAGAGGTTGGTTAGAAGCAGTTTCTTTGTTATTAATACTATATATATGTGTTCTGTATACATTAATTTCAATAATACGAATCAGAGGTATTCCAAGTATTTTGGTTTTAATATGATATCAGACTTAATTTCGATCCTTTTTCTTCTGATTCATTAGTTCTTTGGGCCTTCTCTTTGGGGTTTTTCCCTTCTTCTAACTTTTGTTCATTAAGCAGTTTGTTTTTCCCCAATTCTTTGATTTCGTTTTTTCCCGTTTCTGTCAACAATGTCTTCTGCCGAGGAGATGCTTGACTTCACTCACCTATTATACTTGCATCCATTAGATATGCATGGGTTAATGCTCGTTTCTTAGTCGTTGGTTGGTTTGGACAATTACAGTGTGTGGAGTCGTTCGATGAGGATTGCGTTGCTTGCTAAGAATAAACTAGGGTTTATCGATGGCTCTTGTCAGTAAGGCGTATATAGTGATGCTTTGCATGTGCAGTGGGGTCGATGTAATGTTGTTGTTCTATCCTGGATTCTTAACGCTGTTAGAAAGGATTTATCAATTGGGCTGGTGTTTGCCTCGAGTGTTACCTCTGTTTGGAACGACCTAAAGGAATGATTTAACAAAGTCGATGGTTCTCGAATCTTTTTTTTGCATCGTGAAATTGCTACGCTTTACCAAGGGGATTCTACTGTTTCTGGTTTCTTTACTCATTTGAAGATGTTGTGGGATGAATACGAGTCTTTAATTCATTTCACTGCTTATGATTGTGAAGTCTCCCAGCAAAACATGAAACATTTGGTTCAACAGAAGTTGTTTTCATTTTTGATGGGTTTGAATGACTCTTATTCGGCGATTCGGAGTCAAATCTTGCTCATACAACCCCTGCCAACGGTTAATCAAGCTTACTCGATGTTGATCCAAGAAGAATCGCATCTCTCTTATCTCTCTGTGATTGTTGCGCCTGATACAATGGTTTTGTTCTCCAACTCTGGTAGTTCTTCTGATCGCAAACGAGAAGAATACTAAATTCACTACAGTGGATTATGATAACTCACTTCAGCAGCAGAACCAAAAGGAAGATACCTTGGTTGACAAAGCATAATTTCATAAGGTAATTGTAAGGTTGTTGTATCTGACACACACAATGCCAAATATAGCTTTTTCAGTTCAGCAGTTGAGTCAGTTTATGCACCAACCAAAGAAAGAACACATGGAAGAAGCTCTTAGGGTGGTAAGATACATCAAGAAGAATCCTGGTTTGGGAATTATGTTGAAGGCTTAAAGTAGTTGTCAGCTTGTAGCAAGTTGTGACTCAGATTGGGCAACTTGTCCCATGACAAGAAAATCAGTAACAAGTTTTTGTATTAAATTAGGAGACTCATTGGTTTCATGGAAATCTAAAAAACATAATACCATAGCAAGATCTTCAGCAGAAACTAAGTACAGGAGCATGGCCATAACAACTTTAGAGCTAGTTTTGCTGAAAGGGCTGCTAAAAGAGCTTGGAATCCACAATGATCAATCGGGAAAGATCTAGTGACAGCAAGGATGCTTTACAAATTGCAGCTAATCCAGTGTTTCATGAGAGGACAAAACACATAGAGATTGATTGTTACTTCATAAGGGGAAAAATTCAAAAGGGATTGATCCATACAGAATTTGTTCCAACCTCAGAACAACAAGCATACATTTTAACAAAGGCACTTGGTGTTTCACAACATGAATATTTGTTATCCAAGTTAGGAGTAAAAGACGTGTTTTACCTCCCAACTTGAGGGGGACTGTTGAGCATAAAGAAGTTAGTTAGCTATTCTTGTATAGTTAGGAATTAGTTAGAGGTTGGTTAGAAGCAGTTTCTTTGTTATTAATACTATATATATATGTGTGTATTTTCTATACATTAATTTCAATAATACGAATCAGAGGTATTCCAAGTATTTTGGTTTTAACAAGAACCTCCTTCAACGACAACGATTGCCCTTGGTTTTCACAAGAAATCAATGGAACGTCGTCCATGAATCATATGATGCAATCATCGTACTCGGAGATGGATCCTGACCTGCTGTTTTCACCATAAAGACTTCTTCTGGGTTTTGTAAAGGCCCTTGACAACATTGTTGTGTGGATGAAGATGACAAATGTAGGGCTTATGGAATGGGGGTTTGTGGAGAAATATTGAAGGGAAATATTGGGTCGGGATGCAGATTTTGGCCGGTTTACATTGGTTTGAGGTGTTGGAAACATCGAATGCGGGGCTGTGATACTTTGTTTTGGCATTTTGTGGCTTCTTTTAATCCAAAGAATGACCATGGAAATTCTCTTCGAATCCGGTTGTCTTACGTTAAGTTTATGCATGCCTTGCTTCGAAACAATCCTAGTTTTCTTTTGTTTCATTCTGGTATTTCATATGGCTTATATCACACATGTATTGCATTCAAATTTTATTTAAGAATTAGATACGGTTAGAGAATCTAGTTGTGTGGTTTTCTATGATTGAAAACCTAGTTATGAGCAGCGGCAGATCCCCATTACATTTAGGGTTGATTCGAGTCCATCATGGATTCAAATATTTATATATTTTATTTATAGTGTTCATCCTAAAATTTTATTTATGACCATTTTATATATAAAAAGGTATATTATTGATATATCTATGTCCATTGTCAAAAATATTTTTAAGTTTGTTAATGATTATAAATTACAATAAAGATGAAAAATCTTGTTATAAATTTGTGATATTTATTTAGAGACCTAAGTTTGGGTCGCACCACTAGCGTATCGTTTTACATAGCAAACATGCATGGATCATGTTATTGTCGCGTAACATAATGCTTCACGCAAATGCAGCCCCACCATGAAAAGGTCCAACTTCATAAAGGATGGATCAAAGGGATGAGTGAGAGTAATCATTCTCTTTAAAAAAAATTAATTAGAATATATTTTTTTTTATTTTCAATTAATAATATGTTTTTCCTCTTTAAATTTTATAAATTTATTCCTCTTAAAATTTTAAAAATTCATCCCTAACATAAGATCATACGTCGATTCCTGAACTTCAGTGTGAATAACCGATAGACTTTGTTGTAACTTCTATTAGTGCACAACAAAGTTTCTTCCATTCCAAATATCCCACAATAAAACGAAATTTGTAAAGCTATTAATCTAATACACTCGTTACTTCTTCAACCACTCAAAAATATCACATATTTTAATTGTTCAAGATTTTAGCATCCATTGCACCGGGAGATAACACCTTCCTAGCACTTGGGAAATCCCTTAGCTCATGCCCCGTTATTTCTGCACCCATCTTTCAATCTTGTTGCCGGTAGTCAGTTTGAAGAGCGAATGCACCAAGTCCTCTAAGGGAGTAAGTGTATACTTATTTTTTCGAAAAATTATTAGATTTAATTTAGTATGTTCAGGGAAAGGAGAGAAATAAAAAAAATTACAAACCCGTTCTTTAAAAAAGACAAAAAAGAAATACTAAAATTTTAGACAACATTTTTAAATTTTGAAATATGTCACGGATTGACTTCCTTTTAGAAGCACCTCATGGCCTGTTAACCTCTAGCCAAACAATTTAATCTTTAGAAGCGTCTTCATTTTAACCTTGACTTGTTAACCAGCTTCTGATCATAACCAACTCGCCATAATTCACGACATACTCCAATTTCCAGCTACCAAAACATCTTCGTAAGCTGCTGCAATAAAATATATCTTTCTCAACTGAAAGCTACGACACCTTCTAGGAATCAATCTGTAGTTAATTACAATCTCACTTACGGGCATGAAAACAAAACATGTAATAGTTTCCACCTTTGATCAAATCATACAACAGCTGGTTCAGTCCTCCTTGCACTGGATATCAACGCCTCCAACATGTTAAACCCTTATATCATACGAAGGTGTCGTAGCTTCACTCAAAAATTGAATTAGCTTCTCATAAATATAATAATATATTTATGAACATACTAATAATCTAATGAAGTTTAGTGATATTTAATCTGAAAATTATAGTTTGAAAAGATATAAAATCAAGATAATATATAATTTATTCTGTTGACATAAAATTAAGATATAATTTTATTTTGACAGTTAAATATGTCTAATATATTAAAATTATTAATAAATGTGTGTGTTAACTACATAATAACATACAAACAATCATTATATATGTGTGTATTAATACATAATAACATACAAACAATCATTATAAAAAAACTATACAGTGTTGACTTGGATCACCTTGAAAAAGGCGGCCCTTGAAGTTTCAATTCCCACCTGCTCATTCTTCACAAACTGTCGGAGGAAGAAGTTCCTATAGCAGTTTCCCCTACGTATGTCAACTATAGGATTCTCGTCCACGATGTTCCCTTCAGATTTATGTCATAGAAAGTGGCAAGAGTTCTGGGTAACTTCATGGGAGTTTTCATCGAGTATGATTCCTCTGCTACTCGATTGGTTTATAAAAGAATAATGAGAATCCAGGTTCGAGTCGATATCCGACAGCCTTTGAAAAGGAGGAAGAAAATCTTATTGGCGAATGGTAAGTCTCCGTTTGTCCGTTTTGAATATGAAAAGTTGACACTATTTTGTTTTCTCTGCGGCAAATTGGGACACGGAAAGAGTTTTGTCCTATACGTTTGAACAGTGATAAGCAGGATCTGGAATTAGTTTGGGATGCCTCCTTGAGAGCTCCCCCTAGGAGATCGATGGATGCAGCCAGTCAATAGATGGCTTCGAGAGGAGAATGACAGTGGCAATCCTAGACCATGGAATCAAGGCATGATGTCAGCTGGACCCCCGTAATTCTAAGGAAGTGCTGCCCGAAATTCCTGCTAATACCATAAGGAATAACAATGAAAGAAATGCCATAAATTGTGATAAAGCAAAAATTACGCAAGGTGAGGAATCCAGCCAATCTGGGAAAATCTTGCCTTCTTTTGTAAGTCTAATCATGGCCAGAACGTTGGTAAGGATTCAATCCAGCGAATCAATAACTCCTTAACCGATGGTGATGTCCTTATGAGCGTGGAGGATGAAGATAACCCGATCACTCAATCTGATGGTTCGAAGAGACCGCGATTTCAGTCCGTTTTACCAGAATTTTTCGAGCAGATGGATTTGAATGGTAACTTCGATGTTTCATCGGCAGGCTCCGCTCTTTGGGCCAGCCGATCACAATGAAAATTTTAAGTTAGAACATCCATAGATTGGGTCTCCCCCGGAATGTTCACCGTCTCTGGCACATGGTGTGAAACATAGACCACTCGATTCTCTTCATCATAGAATCCGTAAGTTCTGTAGTTTTCAGAATGGCATCGACATTAGTGCGGATGGTAGTAGTGGTGGGCTCTCTCTCGGGTGGAAGAGAAATGTTTCAGTTTCTCTTTGCTCCTTACCTGAAAGACATATAGACGTTCTCATTAATAATGACACTGAAGGGAAAAGTTAGGGGTGTACTGGTTTTAAGGAGCCCCAAGGGGGCTAACAGGGCAGAATCTTGAGATCTCCTTGGGCGTCTTAATGACCATCCTCTGACAGTGTTATGAGAGATTTTAATGAGATTCTTGAATCCTCTGAAAAACAAGGCGGATTTTTGCGGAATGAAACTCAAATGCGCAATTTCAGGAATATTCTGGACTGTAATCTAGATTATATTGGGTTAAAAGGCACTTGGTTTACCTGGGAAAGAGGCAGAACGGAAGCTAAAAATATCCGTGAACACCTGGACCGAGGTGTCGTAAATGCTAGTTGGTGGAATCGCTTCCCTGATTATCAATTAGAACACAAGATTCACTCTATTTGGACTACTGTCCAATTCTCCTAAACACGGCAGTCCCTCCATCTCTACAGAATTTTGCTCGTCACTTTCAATTTGAAGCAGCGTCGCTTTTGGAACCTTTGCGTGAAGATGAAGTTCGCAGACTTTGGTCCTCTGCCCCTGGTTCAATTCCAGAAAAGCTACGTTGGGTCAGCTCTGGCATGGATCGGTGGTCTAGGAAGTAGTGGAAAGGAAAAAGGCATACAATCAATGAACTGGAACAGAGGACACACTCTCTTTTCTCCCTAACAGTTTCTGATAATAATCTTGGTGACATTCTGGAAGCGAAATTGGCTTTAAACATCGAATTGGATAAGGAAGAAATGTACCGGGAACAACGATCTCGGGCCAACTGGCTCAAAAATGGAGACAGGAACACAGTTTTTCCATAGTTTTGCTAATCAACGTTGTTGAACGAACAGAATCCATGGATTATATGACTCGGATGGTACTTGGCAGGAAGGGGAGGATAAGCTTAAAGAGATTGCTATGGACTATTTCTCGGCTATGTACAACATGAATGGAACTACCTCCTATGAGGAAGTTTTGGAGGATATCGTTCAGAGCATCTCCCAAATAAATAATGATTTTTTGTCTAGCAACTTTACTCAGGAGGAAATATGGGCAGCGATCCAATCAATGAGCTCGACTAAGGCCTGCGAAGAAGATGGTTTTGGTGCAGTTTTCTACCAACAGTTTTGGGGGATTGCCAATGAAGATGTTTCGAAGTATTGCATCGGAATCCTCAATGGGGAAAATTCGATTTTGGAGACCAATCACACAAAAATTATTCTTTTCCCCCAAGGTAAAGGAGCCTCGGAATATGAGCCAATTCCATCCAATCAGCCTTTGTAATATTATATACAAAAGTATTGCTAAGACTTTGGCTAATCGGCTCCAATATGTAATTCATCTTTGTATCGATGAAGCTCAGAGCGCTTTCATCCCCGGAAGACTTATTACCGATAATATCATTGTCCCTACGAGGTCCTTCATTCTTTTAAAAAATGCCTTCTGGATATAACGGTTCTTTTGCGATCAAGCTCGACATGATAGGGTTGAGTGGCCCCTCATAGAAAGCATCATGAGAAAGATGGGTTTTGTGGAGGTCTGGATCCGAATGGTCATGTCTTGTGTTTCATCAATGAAATACTCGGTGATTCTTAATGGCAGCGTCACCGATTCCTTTATCCCCTCTCGCGGTTTACATCAAGGCGACCCTTTAAGTCCCTTCTTGTTCTTAATCTGTAGTGAAAGCCTTTCCTCTCTCTCCTCCGCCAAGCCCCCAGAGGTGGATCTCTAAGAGGAGCTCGTATCTCTAGAAGTGCAACTCTAATTACCCATCTATTCTTCGCGGACGACAGTCTAATATTCAGGGAGGCATCTATAAATGGAGCGCAGAACTTAAAATCTCTTCTTCAAAGGTATGCTGATTGCTCTGGGCAGATTATTAATTATGATAAGTCAAATGTCTTTTTCAGTGGGAATGCGAGCAATGTAAAAAGTCAGAAGTTTGTCGTACTCTTGGCGTTAGAAGGTCAGACAGTCTTGAAAATTATCTCGGTCTTCCTTCCATGGTGGGCAGAAATAAAAGGCGGCCTTTCTCAAGATAAAAGAGAATCTTCTGAATCGTATCAAAGTTGGAGCACCAAACTCCTCTCGTTGGGGGGCAGGGAGGTGTTCATCAAGTTACTCCTCCAGTCTATTCCTGTGTACACAATGTCTATTTTCTTGCTGCCTAATAATCTTTATAGAGAACTCGAAGCTTATCGCTCGATATTGGTGGCAGAAATCAGCGTCAAGACGTGGTATCCACTGGTGGACTTAGTTCTATCTCACTCTGCTGAAGACTTATGGGGGCATGGAGATCTCGGAAAGTTTAATATTGCTCTGTTAGCTAAGCAAAGGTGGGGACTCATTTCCAACCCGAGCTCCTTGGTTGCTCGGCTTTTGAGAGCAAAATACTTCCCAAATTCATCCTTGCTGCAAGCTAGCCTCGGCGGTCATCCTTCCCTTATTTGGAGGAGCATTTGGAGCGCAAGAAGGCTTATCGAGATGGGTATCGGGTGGAGAATAGGGAATGGGCATTCAGTCGACATATGGAATGATTACTGGCTCTCTGAGTTTCCTGTTAGAAAACTGGAAAGTAATAGTGCAATACGACATGGAAGGGTTTCGGATCTCATTATTCGGCCAGAAAATAGGTGGAATGATACCTTCATTCGTTCGATCTTTAATGAAGCAGATGCAAAAAGAATCCAAAAATTTGGCTACCTATCCCTCCCCCAAGAAGATGTGCTAGTTTGAAGAGGTGAATATCGGGGTACTTGCTCTATCAGAAGTGGGTAAAAGTAGGGTGGGTAAAAGTAGGGGTGTGCAAAACTAGCTGATCCGGTTGACCCGACTCATCGACTCGTCGACCTGGACCTAAAAAAAGGGATAATTTTCCAAAACAATTTATCCAGTCGGGTCGGGCCCGTGCCACAAACTTGAAGTTTTTCGGGTACCCGGTTACCCGAGTACATGGTTAGTTTTTTTATACATATACAATATAATGAATTATTTATATTATAGATTATTAGATTTTGTATTTCGAACTTTTAAATTTTATGTTAGGATGTTGGAGTATGCAATTCGAAGTTTCGAACTTTTAAATTTGTGTATATATTTTTTTAATTAATAATTTGAAAATGAAAAAAAAACAAGGTATCGGGTACCCGCAAAATCCAGGTACCCGACAATATCCGGATCGAGACACAGGCCGAAAAATCACCGACCCGGATGTTGCAGGTACTTGGTGTAGACACCCATTTTTATCTGGGTCGAAAAAAATATTATAAATTATTATTTTTATTTTTATTATTCACAATTACATTTTTTGTGCAGGCCTTGCAGCCCAAAATTACAACAACCCACCCGAGGCCCAAAACAAACAACCCAGCAAACCCAAATACAGATCCAACAATCACTCAGTAGACCCAATTCCAGATCCTGGTTCCATAAACCAACTCGCCTAGCATTCGACCCGAATTCAGATATGACCCGACTCCCTAGGGTTTTTAAAACCCTAACCCTAGGATATGATATATGCGCCACCATCTGTTCTCCATTATCACCACCGATTGTCCCACCTGCACCGAACAGTGTCTAGCATCAACTCAACAGTCCTTACATGGCAAATCGGGCAGAGAGGAAAGCAATAAAATAACAACATAAAATCAATCCAAAATCCCGAGGGGATTTATTGTCATAGATCAACACATGCAAATAAAAAGAGGGGGAGGAGATGTGAGAGAGATTCATTCGGGGTTTTAGGGAAGCGAAAAGAAAAGGAAGAGTTTCAGAGAGAAAAAAAGGGAAATCATTCGAACCTAGAAAAAAAAACATAAAATAGACAAGAACCAACAACACAAAAAAAAAACAAATACCAAAGGGAGTGAACCCTTACCTTGGTCGGAGGAGCATTAGGAAGCCCAAAAGTAATTAGTTTCCAGAAATTCTGAAAGGTATTAAGCCTAGATCTAGGGGTTTAGGGTTGGTTTTAGGCTAAGTAAGGGTGTTTTTCGGGTTGAGGAAGGTGAGGGCAGAATTTTGGTATGATCCTCTCTCTCCGATCGCCGGGCGCCGCCGCGAGCACCGCTGGTGGCAACCATCAGCTTCTTCCCCGACGAGGGGAGTTGAGATAGTTCTGTGAACTCTTTCTCTTGCTTATTTTGCTGAAATGAGAGAAATGAGGGAGGCTGGGAAAATAAGCTCGTTTTGGGGCTTATATGCAATGATCAAAACACTGCTGTTTTGGTACACCTCCTTCAACGTGTTTTGAGTTATGGTATAATAGCCATGTAGGTCCTTGATCCTTGTAATCTTACGATTTATCCATATAATGAAGTTCTATATTATTTGATTTCGAGCCTTTATTTTTCATTACTTACTTTTTAGTCCTGTTATTACCTGTTATGTTATTTTGGTTATTATTTGACTTTGGTCCCAATATTTATGAATGTTACATTTTAGTCATTGATTTAATGTTTTGTATATTTTCTTTGATGTTTGAATTTGGCCTTGATATTTGTAAATCTTGTATTTTAGTCACTGTTTGGTAGTTGATTTAATTATTGTTTGATTCTTTAGGTTTCTGTTTTAATGCATTTTAGTCCTAAGTATTATTTATGGGTTATTTTCATTTTAGTTACCTGTATTGCTTATTATTTGTGATTTTGGCTATGATTTATTTGTAATTAATGTTCACCCCTTTAAGATTCTTTTTTTACAATTTTAGTCCCTTAAATGTCTATTTTTACTATTTTAGTCCTTTAAATTTTTTATGCTATTTTAGTCCCTTAATTTTTCTTTTTTGCTATTTTGGTCCTTTAAGTTATTATTTTTCTCATTTTGGTCCTTGTAATTTTAAATATTTACTTTTTGACCATTATATTTTGGGTTGCAATATTCGTTTGTATTTATTTCAATCTGTATGTATATATTTTGCATGTTATGTATTCATTTGTATCATATGTAATTAAATATATTTATCTCTATTTATTGTAAATATTTTTATTTCGCATTTTTCCAATCATCATTGTTTTAATATTAGAAAATTGAGAAATTTAATTGAAATCTACGAAGATTTCTCCTAACTAAAGGGAAGATGTCTTTTCTGAGGATTTTCCACACAAATGTTGTTTTATATTTGATATTTTTGTTTGTTCCATGTTTATTTATTCCGATTATTTTTCACTTTTATTTTGTCTTATTTTATGGTATTTTATCTTTGCAAAATAGCATTTTTGTGAGGGGAATCTATGGGAAAGTCTCCTAAATACAAAGGAAGTGTTTTCCGAAGATTGTTCACACTTTTTAAATAAATTCAAATGAATAATAGGATCGTAATATAAATATATTTTCGAGTTTGTAATTCCCAATATTTAAACAACATATAATCGTTTAGGTACCAAAATTTGGGCGTTGTTGGGGTGCTAACCCTTCCTCACACGTAACCGACTTTTGAACCCTTAAAAATTGAATCTTTGGTAAAATGCATACTGTTTTTTTTGTTTAAGGTTTCCAACCTACCTAACTTAATGGTTGATGGCGACTCCAAAATCAAACTGTTTTCCAAATCATATTTCATCGCCTTTCTCCTAAATTAAATTTGTTTAAGTCTAACGGATTCCCCAGCGGAAACGTTATGACAGCTTGGCGACTCTGCTAAGGATTTCTAGAGTTAGGCCATAAACGATTATACGTTGTTTTTATTTTGGGAATTACAAACTTAAATTTTATTTAATTTACAATCTTTTATTTATTTTGAGTTTCAACATATTATGCATTATTTTATTTTTAACTAATTGATTTTTTATTTTAGTGGTTTTCAGATTCGAACAGATTTTTGGAAATTGTGAGAGTATTATTTTTTTGTCGTGCTTTAAAGGTTTGTGAGTTTTTCCTCACACACAACATGTACATTCGCAAATCATAAGCTCACTTACGAGCTTTGTCCCTTTTAAGTTGAGGTGAAAGCTTAGCCTACGTGAGATAATTTGTTTCTCCGTATGGCTTTTAGCAAGTAAACTTTGGGGTTCATATACCTTATGTCTATGTGAGATAAATTATTTTCTTCGCATGGATATAAGGGAATGAATCCTCTCGAATTAAACTCAATCTGCACGAGCCTGTAATGGGCTAGGATTGAGGGTTTGACAGCCTAAGGAGGCACCAACAAGGACAATTCGGGTATCTTTTTTCTGTTAGAGCCGAAATCATGCATATAGTGAACCGTAGAACGATTACCCTAGGTATAGTCATACCGAACCTCTGTCCGTCAGTAGGTACCCAAATTAAGTGTACACAAAGGATAAACAATTCTGTTGAGTTAATCGATCGGATGAATCGACCAAGAGGGGCTGAATTGGCAATAAAAATTTCGGTGGAAGCTTTTGCAGAAAATTGAAAATATTTGCATAGTGATTTAGAGTGGTTCGACTTTCTCAACCAAAGTCTACGTCCACTACCTTAGCTATCCACACTAAGGATTTTCCACAAATTCACTATTTTATCTTTCTTTTGAGGACAAAGAGTAACCTTACAAATCCCTCAAGAATTATACCCCAAATTCTTGAGAACACTCTCTCCTAAACAGAAAATTACAAATTATCAAACTTTACAGAAAACCTCACAAGGTAGATTGTTTGCACAATTTTAGAACAAGAAAAGAACACTCAAAGATGAATACAATTGAGCACAAAATGTGTTCTTGAAAGCAAAATGAATATTGAAGGAAAATTGGCTTGAATTTCACAAACTTGATGTTTGATTCTTTCTCTCTTGATTCTTTCTCAATTCTTATTGATCAATGGCTTCAGAACTTGTTTAAATACACCCTGGATTGATTCTGAATGTTGCAGATCATTGGTGGAGTCAATAGAGACGTTGTTGTATGTTTTCCATTTAAAAAATCTATTGGGAGCGTTGGTGTATCGGTACACCATCAAAGGGTATGGGTACACTCAGTGTAAAATTCAAAATATTTCGACCGTTATTTAACCTAGTGTATCGATACACTTCAGGGGTATCGGTACACTAATTACATTCGATGTTTCTCAGAGCCAGAAGGGTATCGGTACACTCGACTGTGTATCGGTACCCTGATTACATTCAAAATTCAGGGATATCGGTACATCCTATAGGTGTATATGTACACCCTTACTTAAAAATTAGTTTTGGCTCGATTAAGGTTCGAAATACTTTGTAAAAATTGTTTCAAAAATATTTTTTAAGATTAAAACACAAATTTTCACTTAAGTAAGGATTAAAATTGACATTTAAAAACTTGGAGTAATATTTTTGATATTCGAATAATTTAATCAAATATATAATTTAAAATTGAATATAAAATCTTAAAATTCAATAATACTTTATTTGTTATATTGAAACATCAAAATGTTTTCAACAATCTCCCCCTTTTTGATATAACAAAACATTTTAGTAATTTTAAGATTTTCTTTTTAAAAATCATTTTTGAAAATTACTCCCAATTACCCCCTTACTTTATTCTCCCCTTTTTTGTTAAATCAAAAAGACTATGAAAAACGTTTTGTAAACAAGTTTTTAAGAAAAAGTATCCAATTGAATTAAATAGATATAACTATAGTTGCTAAGATCACAATCAAGAGAATTGTTATCCATTAGTCCATAAACAATATTCATAAACGTGTAATGGTAATTGGTCATATTTTGTCTAAAATGTAAATGATGCATATTAACATGAAAATTTAATTTAAGTTCAAATAACTAATAATAATCATTCA